TGTGTGTGTGCGTGCGTGCATGCGCGCATGTGTGTCTGAAAATATAAACAAATATCCGAGACCCATCTCCACTTCTCCACTTAAAACTAGAGACCCACAAGAGTGCATTTCAATCTGCCTTGGTGGCTAATCTCTAAAAATAGAAACCCATGTGACGACTCGTGTGAAGAAAACAACGAATGAAAAGTGAAATGAAAATAAACGGCCACTGCTTAAAATTCATCTAAAACCCACACACTATTTCCCAATGACCGTCCTGTCAAGCCAAACCAGTACACATGCACACAGCTGTGTTAGAAGAAGGATCAAGTTACGGAGAATCGAGAGGTCACAAGCAATATGATATCAGAGGCAGCGAGTCCTATATCGTCACGAGTCTGACTGACAGACTCTAGCTGTGTATCTGCCAAATTAGGACAAACATTTCTTTTGGTCTCAAATTATGTTACGAACAACCATATCTACTTGGGGGTGGGGGGTGTATTTGTTTTGTTAGCTAGAGTAAAGAGATGCACATTGCCACAACAATAGTAATTCAGTGCAGGGGAAAAAACAGGCAGACAGACAGAAAGAATAGGAAAAGTAAACAAGTACGGTAATGGACAAGCAACTCCCCCCTCCCCCTCCAAACCCTTCACTCTTCTACTTCTACATTCAATAAATTCAAGCAGTTAAAATTACACATGCATCAAAAGATCCATCTAGTTAACTTCAGAGATTCGTTCCCACAATAATTTTTAAAATCCGGTCTTTAAAATTTATAATTTTTCTTTTGCATCATCATGTCCGGGAGAAGCAATACTAAAAAAAACAGAGAATAAGTATTTGTGGTTGGCAGCTATGCAAATTAAGCCAAGAAATATTCATGACTCGTCATTAGGATGGGTCGTCACAGGGGTGTGTCCTTGCCACAAAAACATAGCACAACGCTGAGGGGACCAGAAAATAATATGTCTGGAAAAGTGTCTATCATTTTGACATATTAATAATATGCGACGTTAACATCATCTCTTAATTATCTTATAACATATGCATAGCATATGCTGTTGTGTAACCCAAACTTCTCCATGGAAATTTGTATAAAAACATTCTTGTAAAATGAATTATTTCTCACCAACATGGGCAGGTTTACACAATGGAATGTGTCATTCTCACTTCCAGCAGACCGGCTTCTGTCGAAGAAGAAAGTGCGACTTTCTTTGTAGGAAACAGTACCATCATTGCTGAACTTGATGTCGTACTTCTCTCGTTTTTCCCTGGAACCAGAAAAAAAACAAAGTTGCAATAGAAAAGGCATTCTTTAAAAGGTATTGAACAACAGCAAATAAAGGTGTCCTACATAAAAGTCCCAAATCAATCAATAATCGCTATAATGCTGTCTTGGACACTAGCAAACAAACTGCAAGTTTCATTACAGGAACAAGGGCAGATCAAAAGGTAATGGAAGTTGCGAAATGTCTATTTTTTTTATTTTTTTTTAAATCTTAAGGCTAAAGACCTGAAATTTTTCAGCCCAGGATATTCTCCTTGACTTTATATCAAGGATTCCAGCTTCGTGACCTTGAAAACAAAATGTTTAACCCTATCCGTACACCCAGGAGTCATTTTGTACCCCCGAGGTTGTATTCTTCACATTTTAAAATACTTCTAGTGAGAAAATTTCTGAAACTTTCAGTTTTTCTCAAAAAACCATTTAGACAGACTGCTATGCAAAGCATACGGATCGGAATAAAGAGTAAATTTCCTCTTAGGAAAGTGGCGGCACAGAGTTCCCTACGTCGTATAGATATGATAGTAAAACACGACATACAAATAGGGTTAACTAAGAAGGCCACGATGGAATTTACATGAATTGGGTTGTATCGTATTAAAATGGTAGCTTTTGCCTCATCCAAGAAGGAAAATCTGGCTGTCCCTAACTAAACCAAATGAATCCAATTAGCGGTGTCACACTGGTGGGCATAACTTAATTATTGTTTTCTATCCACTACTCACAGATATGTGTATGGTCCCATCTGCACCAGGGCCGGTCGCTCACCCTTCTCCATCACTTCCATATAGTTGACGACATCAAACATCCACACCTGGAAGTAGATGGGTGTGCCCGGTGCCTGCCAGTTCTTGTATGATTCTGAACCTTTCTTCAGAGGCAATTGCTGAAAGAGAAGTTGTTTTGGGGGTTATCTTGGTCTGAGATTCTTTGACATTTTTTTTAGTAGAGGTTACGGCGATCGCAACGGCATAAGGTCATACGAGCGCCATAAGAGGAGTTACAAAAGTGTATGAAACAAGCATAAAAAAGAAGAAGGGGAGATAAGGAAGATAGATGTTTGATAGGAAAGAAGAAGCAAACCCCACCAGAGCACCCACTCTTTGACGTTAAACGTTGTTTAAAATACAAAACAAGAATAGCTACTACAGCATTCAGAGTGCCAAAGCGAAGTTTTACATTATGTATGAAAGGAAACAAGAAACTCTACTAAGAACATCATATCACTTGTGTCACAAGCAATCCAAATATGTACAAAGTAGGACGACAAACGTACAGGCCAAGCTAAAACTAAAGCAAACCAAGTCTGGTTTCTTTTGTATGTCTAGATACTGTCTCTTTCCTGGCTGGCATTCTTTCTTACTTATGCTTAAAAACAGTGGGTATCTTACAGAAAAAGAGAGGCACTCAGACAGACAGGGGGACAGTAAGGAAGTTTGCACTCATAATAAACCATCGCCTTCCAAAAAGAGGGAGGTAAATTTTGTCAATTGTAATCTCTAGTAGACTTCAAACAAGATGTTGGAAAGAATTAATAAAATGTCCACAACTCGAAGAAAAAAAAGTGAAAAGCAAGGAGGCCCCAAAAACCAGCCCCAACTCACTCCAGCAGGGTAATCGGGGCTCAAGTGGTAGAGCCTGGGGAAAATAGAATACTATCAATTTTTACTGACAACACAACAAGTCTGCACAAGTGCAATATAATGCCCAGGGAGGCCAACAGAGATTCAAAAAATTATTTCTCAGCTGATATCATGATTTTTCCTAAACGTTTACTTTGATTTATCACGAACAATTCTAACATTCTTACATCGCAAAATTAAAGACTTCCAATTGCAAAGAACTTTCTTGATTTTCATGAATTTTCCATTATTTTGCAATAGGAACCAGGGGTATTAAGAACTTGATATTTTCTTTGTCAGAAAAAGCATTGAAACTTTTAACACATTGTACACTGAAACTTGGGCAGCATTTTCACAGAAAATGGAAAATTAGATTGAGAGATAGAGACTAGATGCCAGAGAGCCAACGCAGTCAGCTACCAACTGGGCCCTCTCCTGAAACATCCCAATATCCCCATGAGCACCAAGGCGAAGCTCATCAACGCCATTTTCCTTCCAACGCTCACATATCAGTGCCAGACATGGACTCTAACAAAAGCCCTAGAGAGGAAACTGGTCACATGCGAGATGAAATGCTTAAGAAGAGCGGTCAACAAAACAAGAAGAGACAAAATTAAAAATGAAGTCATAAGGGACACCGTGGGAGCAACACCAGTCCTACCACACATTGAAAAACAAAAGGTCAAGTGGTTCGGACACCTCACGCGGATGCCCTCAAACCATCCAGCTCTGAGAACATACAACATTAAATATTCTGGATGGAGAGCCAGAGGAAGACCAAGGCGACGATGGAGTGAATCTGTGGCAGACACCCTTAAAGATCATGGGATGTCCCTCCTACAGGCCACACGACTTGCTGCAGACAGACACCTGTGTCTCCCCGCGACACCCCAGGGTACAAGCGGAAGAAAAAAGTAAAGTAAAGTAAGTAAGTACACTGAAAAACTTGAACTGAGCTGCTCAAGAAATATAATATACATGGCGGTGGTAAAGAGTGCAGAAGAAGGACAGTTGGCCACTTTAGTCAACTTCACACAACGGTGTAAATTTATTCATGAAGCCAGTTTTAGGTTGGTTTCTTTTCTCCCTCGGGAACACCACGGAAGAGCCAACATGATGCAACCTCACCCACAAAGTGGAGGAACCAATCATCATATTTCAGATGTATCCACACCTAAACAGTAGTTTGATTTTAGGTTACTGGGTTAGGGTTTGGAGTCTGGGTCAGTGTCAGGATTATGGTTTTAGTGTTAACAAGTCGGGGTTTTTTTAAACACTATATTCAGTTTCCAAGACTTAAGTACTTAAGATTCATAAAATTTGCAGTAAAATCCATTACATTATGATATCAGGTATCAATTCTTGTAGGATCTTTTTTGCTACTTAGTGGCTATCGAAGAACTAAAATCAAAGCATTGGCTCTGCCACAGTCAATTGAGATTTTAGCTTTTTCTTGTTTTTTCTGTTGTTAAGAAATTCGGATAGTTCCTTCATATGAAGTCAACAGAGACTTTCCAAAGATGTATAGCCTGTTAACTGAATCTGTATTCAAAGTGAAAAAAAAAAAAAATGGTGAAAATGCCATGGCTGAAAAATAATCATAATTTGAATGATTAATACAACACAGGAAAAGGCAGTTGATTCGGGTCATTTCCACAATCTGAACAGAATTTTCTGGGTAGCTGCCAGGACAAAACAGAGGGTTTTAAGTTTGTTTGTTTGAGTAATGAGAAGCACATCGACACAAAAATGGTCATTTAGCGCTGGGGAAAAATAAGACACACAGACAGAAACAACAGAGAAGTAATAAAGAAGTAAGACCTACCAGAGGCACCCTCCAGATACCTTCATGACTAGTAGGCAAATCTAATCGTTGAATTCTTTTAGTGTAAAGGTTTTAGTTTTTAGTTTTAGTACAGGTTTTACGGCGCTCGCAACTGCATAAGGTCATAATGAGCGGGGACATATGGACGATAGATGTTTCATAGGAAAGAAGAAGCAAACCACACCAGAGCACCCGCCAACCACAGTGTAAAGGTCTGAAGCCCCTTTCAAAACTACAATACAATTAGGTTGTTTCAGAGACAGGACCTCCAAACTTAATGTCCATCCCCAATAGGACCATTGAACTCTTTTATGATGCAACAGTATAGGTTTTACACCCCTATCAACACTATTAGGTTATTTCAGAGGCGAGGCCTCCGAGCATATAATCCATCTCTAAAAGGACCAAGCATAAATGGGGAATTCATGTAAAAATACCTTTCCCAAGGACACAACGTTGGACCGAGCTGAGGCTCGAAACCTCCGAACCTGCAATCTCTAAGTTATGGGTCCAGTAACCTAACCACTAGGCTACTGACACCACTACTCTTTTATCAATAAAAAAAAATAAACAAAACAAAACAAACAAACAAATATAGACACTTACGTCATCAACCTCACTGTGTATGAGCTCGCTGAATACGTGAATGAGGACACAGCCAGTGACCAGCAGCACAATACCCGTCACTGAACACAGGATGGAGGTGAAGATCTTGCGTGATCGCTTCATGGCAGCAGAGCAACAGTCAGCCTATTATTATCCTCAATGAATTGGGAGCTGATTGTCAGCCAGTGTTCTCCTCCAAAATATATCACAATATATTCCAGCTAAAAATCCACCCTGTCCCAGCGACAGCTGTATATGTGGCACACTTTTAAAAGGACTTCGTAGTCCTCAGACCTCTGCCAACGTCCACCCTACAGAGAGAAGAAAAGAAAAGTAAAATTGACTTTTAAATTTTAAGAAAGTTATTTTTTCATCTGATACTACAGTTAGGAGGATAAGAACTAACACAAATGAATTTTATAAATGATATGTTCAACATTTTGGCATGATTATGATATGCTGCCTTAATTTATAGAGTGCTAAATAATATCTGTCGATATGTTTGTTTGTCAATAAATATAGAGTGTCATTATAATGTAAAAATATACACAAGGGAGGAAATGGGAACTGGACCTTTGCACAGGTGATTGTCTTCTACAGGTTGCCATTATGGCAGATTCAGCTGCATATATAAAATATGTGAATTATAAAAGAAGACCCAAAAAAATGTAATGTTCTAAAGTAGATTCTAGGTGTTTTTATGTCCACATCAACACAGCAATTTTTAATTATCTTTTTTAAAGGAGAAGGTTAAGATCAGAAATAAAAAGTCATACACATACTTACACAAATGATCAGGCTTTAACGAACTCAACAAGTTTGTCTCACAGCTCTAGCAGAAGAAACAAAACCAAAAAAACACCACCATCCATTCACAGAAAAGCAGAGAATATCCAAATGGGGGAAATGAGAAAAGAAACCAGTGGAAGAATGTACTGGATATATAAATTTACGCCTAGTGAAACCCGGAGTAAAAATTGCACCCCTGCCTCTAAAATTCGCCAAACACACAAAGAAATTTTGCAATGATAAACCAACGACGTACCTAATCACAAAGGACCCTGATGATCATACCACGAAAGCATGGCAGATTGAACACACGAAGGACTTGATCTATTCATTTTCTTGATAAGATATTTAATTTATCTGACTACAGGTGCGCGCTGAAGGCAGTTAACTCGAACCACTATGTCAGTTCATGTAACAATCACTGGGACAGTTGTCAGAGCATTAAAATTTGTAGCAGGCATACTATCCCAAAAAGAAAGGAGTGAGTCTGTGTGTGTGGGTGTGTGTTTGTATGTGTGTGTATCTGTGTGCGTGTTTATATGAATGTGTGTATCTGATATGTGTGTGTGTGTATTTGTTTATGTGTATCTGTGTGTGTGTGTGTGTGTGTGTGTGTGTGTGTGTGTGTGTGTGTGTGTGTGTGCGTGTGTGTGTGTGTGTGTAATGTCTGACCAAAACAATCCAATATAATGAAGGCCTACGTGTACATCCATTCAACACTATTCTCACAACAACAGGCCTGAGATCAACGGTCAAAGTTGAAACACCAGTCTGAACTTGTTTGTTTATTTGTTTGCATCTTAGTTTGCATGTTTAAGTCTGTTTGTTTGTTTGTTAGTTTGTGTAAAGGGAAGCACGTCGACTCAATCATGATGGACATTTAGTGCATGGAAAAAGTAAGACGTACAGACAGAAACAACAGAGAGAAAGTAAAGAAGCAAACCACACCAGAGCACCCGCCAACCACCCGCACCTAGTGACATCCTCCAACCACCCGCACCTGAACTTGATCACAGACCAGCTACGTCAACCAATAAGATGGCCAACGGACAGTGGTGGTGGGTCTCGTTTGTCCAATAAATATAAGTGTATGTCCACCATGCTTCCATCACTGGGTGACGCCGGCGATTCCTACTCGAGAAATCTAGATTTACACTTGACACTTTAATAGCGGGAATGGGTTTTTTTGTTGTTGCTGTTATTGTTTTGTATTTTTTTTGCTTTTTTTTTTTTTTACTTTTCTTCTACCTACGCCATACCAGGTTATTTTGGGAGCTTCAAAGTGTTTCTGAATGGCACAATATTTCAAAACGAGCGTGCAAAAACACCAAAAAACACCTTCCAGAATCTCCAGGGGCTAAAGAAAGTAATTTACCAGCCAGCGCCATCACATTATATTTCAAAACCGCTTATTTGATTTTATATTTGAGTAAAAACAGATCACATCGATCAGCACTCCAAATAAAAGGACACGAC